ATCTTAATCAAGTAGGCTATGATGAATTTAAAAAAACAAAACAAAACCTATTCGAGGCAACACAACAATGAAAATAATTACATCACATGTGTAAAATACTGGCCATTATTAGTGGAACACACTTCAAGACAGTTTACTTTAGGCAAAGGGTTGCCATTGATACTATAACACGCCTTTAGAACGGCTTCGCGCAGTTGTGTTATTATTCCTACCTATTAGTATAGTAGCTACTTCCATATACTTTATTCTTTAATGTACAATGGACACAATTCGTGAATTGTGACCTGGGCAGCCAGCTCAATTGTTGGTAGGTACCACAAAGCCACCCTTTCTGCGAAACATATACGTTGTCTAGAAAATCCTTTAAGGAAGTTTATTGGAGAATTTGTAAATAATCGCGAGCAGTTAAAGTTCCATCGAAGATTACCGGCCCAATTACATGACTTCCCATTATGTCATAAAATACATTTAAAATCCCACTTGATTTCGGCGAAAAACTACATGTAGGTTTTCCATGGGTTTTCCTGTGACGAGTACTGTTCATTATGTCGATTTGAACACTCCACAGTTAGAAAAATAAGACTCATCTGTTCATATACTGGGACTCGTAAAATTGCAGTTAGTGTCTTGAAATGTGTTTAACTGGATAATGGCATGACATTTTTTCGAGGAGATAGTTTGTAGTTATACCAGCATTTTGTAGGTATGTAAGTATGGATAATATCATAGTCAATAAGTGAAGTCATAAAAGTCCAAATTTTTCTACGCCTATACTTATATAAAATGTTGGAGGGAGTTGTAACGCCCAAACCCCCCGCCCATGAGTGCGCCCCTGATATTTTAAACATCTGATGTAATTACTTTCATCGTTTTGTTGCGTCGAATAAATTTTGTTTTGTTTTTTTAAAATTCATCATAGCCTACTTGATTAAAATATAAAAACCGTTGATATAACTGGTATCTTATTTTCAATTTTATGCTATGATAGCTCGTTGAAAAGAGAATTAAAAAATCTATCAAATCATCTAAAAATCCAATATGGCGCCTATTTAACTTTAGGAAGTTGGTAAATGTTCCTCAAAGGTAGCCATCTTGAATTTTTTTTTGACATCAAATCTAAATTAGGCGTATCAAAGACAGTAACTTTTATATAAAACTTTTTTTTATATCTCTTGTACTTTCGATGATATAAGACATTAAAGGAAATGATCAATTTTAGTTTTTTTTAATTTACATCGAATCTATGCGACATTTTGAATTTCCATAAGGAAATTTTAAATAAGCATCCAAAACTGCAAAACATTGCCCATTTAACCAATTCTTTATCTTTAATAATAAGAAAGTTACCCATGCAATCCCACGCGATCTGGGACACACTGTATAGTACACATAAATGTCCGGCGGATATTGCTATATTCTTGTAAAACATTATGCGTTTATTATTCCCATTTATATGCGTTTACTGAATACGTTTAAATTTGGCATACGGAATATGTACTAACGCCTTAAAACCGATTATTAAACGTACGTGTATTGACTGGGGACTACGCCACAAAAGCAACAGGCGACGAAACGTGCACTAACTAAGGTAACTTGACCCCCCCCCCCTCCCTCTACTTGGATATTAGACAGTCGTATTATTACAAATGAATGCGCTCACATGCGCCACCGATAATAACTCTTCCGCCATTACCGTTTTTTAGAAATCTGAAAATACATTAGGGAGGGGCCAAGTATACGTAACCCCCCCCCCCCCCCATACGTATTTTGTCGCTGGTATCTAGGCCACCTGAAACATATCGATTGCGCCCCTTGAATCAAAGCTAGCGCCATCACGGTTAAGTCATAAAAATTTTGTTAAGTGTGGGGGGGGGGAGTAAATTAACGTTTTCAAAAGATACGTTTTTGACATAGTTTTTCTAACACATGGTACCTTTCATCATGCGCTAAAATACGCCGTAGATAGAAATCTTTGCGCCATTCTAGTTTTTTACAAACACTTTATAGTATACACTGTGTCCAAGATAAGGATGTCCATCATGGGAATCTCGGAAACCATAAAAGATACGACGATGGTCAAATTAGTGATGAAAGAGTTATTATCACGCTTTAAAGAAAAACAGAAAATACCGATTACTTTCGTAGATATGCCAAAAAAACCGAAATTTGCGCCGATTTCGTTTTAATTTTTTAGGTAGTGTAAAAAACATGTTAAAAACGTCACTTTTGAAAACGTCAAGTTAGTCCCTCTCCCACTTTTTTAAAATTTGCGATGCTTAACAGAATGCTGTTTTGAAAAAATTCCGACTACTTTCGGAGAAATCCGGAAAAAATGAAAATTTTGCAAAATCGTTTTTAATTTTTACCCAAGTTATTTAAAAAGATATTTCAAAATAAATGACACATTATTATGGCCATTTTTTTTCCCTCTACAAGATGCTAGTTAAATTTTAAGTCTGACGTTTCGTCTCCGGTTAACCATCAAAAACTTTGTTTTTTTTATGGAAGTCATTTGTGTTATTTGATAAAAGCATGTTTTCCAATTTCAAAAATGGTAACATTAAATATTGTTAAAATCTCGAATATCTACAAAAGTAGTCGGAATTTTTTCAGTTTGAAAACCGCCTTTTGTTAAGCATCAAAATACGCAACTTTGCCAAATTTAAACTACCTACCTATCTCTTACAGTTAACGTTTTGATTCACACGCTATATTGGTTCACCACAACAGGCGCACTTGGGGGTGTGACAACCCTCTCGAGAGGGGCGACCCCAAATCCGGCTCCGCGATCAAAAAGTCTAACCTGTTTGGTTTCTATGGCTCTATCTGTTGTTATCAAAACGGACAGTCGTTTACGTTTGTAGCGCAAAAGGGGCGCGTTTCAAATGAAGCCCACTCCCTCGAGTGTCTATCCACGCGGAATTTAAAACCAAATCCCACTGTACTTTTGCTTCCCTTATCGCCTAAGGTGAACCAACTTTGAATTTTTGGTGTACACCCCTTTGAATTAATTTGAATTAACGTGAATTAATTTGAATTTAAGTTTTTGGTGTACACCAAAAATGGTACTTGTTTCCCCCTAACTTATCGCACATTAAATGCCGTCGCAGCGGCTTTATCAACACCGAAACTGATTAGGCCACCACCGGTCTAGTCTTGGCAAAGGTTTTTTAATTATACTAATTCCCACCTTGTAACCGGTCGCTTTCCGGTAGTCGGTTTCCACGTGCTTCACTGTTACGTTAATTCGTCCAAAAACTTGGTCACAGCTGCCTTCCTTCTCGTCTCACTAGCACGCGCACTCTTACTCTCTCCAAAAAATTTTAAAACACAAAAACACCTTAAAACAGCCGCAGTTCAGTTAAAGCTCGGATTACGGCTAACATAACCTGTTCAAAACATACAAAGAAAATTTTAATCCAACCACAGGAATGGTATCACTGAAATTACATGCAATTATCCCGTCAATGAAACAAAATAACCAGAAGTCTTTGTGTGGATGTTACTAATATCAATAAATACAATACAAAGTTTGTTCAAAGCAAACAACTTTCACAGGTGGTTGATTCCTTTAGGAATATTAAAATTATGTCAAACAATATTCCTAACCCACCACTACTTTATACAAATTTAAAATAACTTAGTTATCTCGTTGGAACACATCGCTTCCTTTAGAGATATGGAAACAGATCGCTTCAATTTCGCTTCGTGAAAGTAACACTCAAGATCAGGATTATGCACATTAATAATAAGCCAATGTTTAAATTTCCTCTACAAAGGTAATTTTCCTTATATCGCGGAAGCTAATTATCCCGTCAAAGAAAGGGTGAAAGTCAAAAAGCACAAATATTATTTTTTCTTTAGTGTTAAATTCATCGAAAGCTGGGATAAAGGCTTCATACAGGGTCTCTCTCTTTGGCCGCATGAAGTTTTGATAACGTTAGGCTTAATATAAATATTTTCAGAAAAATAGGTCTGGGCTATATATGGGTAAATGAAGGATATGTGACTACCAGGATCAATTAGTAACTTAATTGTGTAGGGCCGTAATGAAAGGTAATTGTCTAAGGTCGTTCGCTAGGTGGAGTTTATTCTAAAGGCAACTGGGGGAAAATTTAGATTATCTGAATCTGCAATTTGAGAAAAGTCTTTATACGGTGATGGTTGTTCGAAGAGATTTTCGTCATTTTCCACATACGGCTCTGAATTAGCTTAGCGTATTCATAATCTTAAAATCTGTGAATGTGGTTGAAAATTTCCTTCTGTGGGGGTCTTGATGTTTTAGTAACTACTGACATTGGAGTTTGTCGTTCCAGGGGTACTTTCCCTGTAGGTTTCCAAACATTACCCTTAGGGGGTGGGTTTTTGAAAATTTGTTGATTTGTAAAAAAATTATGTTGAACTGGTCTGTGGTTAATAGGGATCGGTTGATTTGGGAAATTTTTTGACTGAGGTTGACCGAATTTGAATAATCCATTTTGGCGTATGTTCAATGACGCGTTTAATTAAATTCGTCTTCGACCGATAATGACTCGTCTACGCTCGGCGTAAATATAACTTGAGAATATTGATCCGCTCTCGTTCTTTTTCAGTTTTTTAACCGTAAACTTGAAACTTGAACGCTCAAGAAACAAAATGCCCGAACCACTTTACGGGTTTCTTGAACTGGAGCTCTTCCACAGCCCAAAAGCGAATGCCTAAAGAATCCATTCTTCCGATCAATCCCCTCTCATTGTTTGTTTCTATCAAAATACCCACAAAATTCACCGAGCAGTATTGGTCACGTAAGCCTCATTTAGATAGTCTTATCTATTCTTAATGCCCGCCAGACTGACGCCAGCAACTTACAAATTCTCGGATGTTTGCAAACATCTTTGCCTTGAGAGTCTCCAAAGATATCAGAGACTGTATGGTTTGCGGACGGTAAACGGGTTTAATTGGACTTATGGAACCTTATTTATTAAGAATTACACAACTATAATTTAACAAAGTGTGTTACATTGCGATCAATTCTCTCAAATTATTTGCAACAATTACAATACCATTTATTTAAACATGAAGCCGGTGAACAACTCGACCAAGAAAACCACAAGTGCTATCGCTAATCCCAGGCCAAGTAAGCAGAATGCGAAATACAAATGACCTAAGGTCAGTACCACCGTATCCGGAGCCTCTTCGACGATGTCGTTTTTAAAATATTCGGTTTCGAACTCATTGAATTGCTTCGGTCCAATTCCAGATTCCACAAGCGTTTGAAGAAATGTGCCAATATGGACAGCGAAGTAGTAGTTGGGTTTGTATGCGAATTTTATGTGGTGTGCGCCGGTTATAGAATTATCTTCAATTTTACCAACGTCAATTTTGTCTTTCATGCTCATTTGAATGGTAGTGAGATCCTGGTGTGTCACAATAGCCGCGCAATTGCGATAATCATGAACATTCATTATGGCTTTTCCTAGTGCATCGTGAGTACGGCAGGGTATCAGTAACTGTTGCAGTTTTTCATAGAGATCATTGTTGGTGTCATTGCGACTGAAGTGGTACTTTTGAAAATTAGCAGGTATGTAGATTGGCAAGTTTGCGTCCGCGAGTTGTTGCAAGGTTTTTATTTGGAATTCGTACTGCGGTACCGTAAGAAGATCAATCCACCTGGAGGTGAAGGCGCAACTGATGTGGATGATGTATATTAAGTAAGCGAGAATAACTGAGCGATGAAGGAATGAACTTGGCATGACTGGGATCGAGCTCAGTATCGTCAGGGAACTCACGTTGGTGATTGCGTCTAAGCCATCCTCAAGGCGGAATCTTCTATTTTGGCAGCCCACGATCAGCCACCAAACAAACACGGTACTTACGAAGGTGAAGATGATGAGGTACCATCCTAAGCTCTTAAATGCTAGTAGCACAACACGTATGGCAGGAACTGGCAAAGATTTCGGTACTATCCATACTATAGAGTGTGTTAGTACAGGTTGAGATGCGATATTGGCAGGTGCAGTGGGATCTGCGTACAAAAAGATGGATATATTTTTATTATATTCGATAAACTGTGCTATATCTCCCTCGCGATTTGCAACATGTACCACGTATTTTGTATTAAAGTACTGCGCCATTAAGTTCATTAAAAATTCCATGATGTAACGTACGTCTGGACAACTTTTCGCTAATTCCAAATAATTAAAACGTGATTTATGGTAAACGGCCAGGACAAGGGGACATTGGTTCAAATTCGAAGTTTTAGGAAACTGGATGTTTACACTACCTGCACACGATTCCTTCTCAATTACCCTAGCACGTTCACCGCAATTGTTTCCCTCCGTAAACTGGTTTGAGACGCTCAGAACTTCTTCTCCAGAACCCCAACTTAAAAGGACCACGTTGTATAACAAACTCTTCCAGCACTGATCGTGCATTCGTTCCACGTTTCCAGGGCTAATGACTAGAACTCTTACGTCGGAGTATCCCTTATCTTCGGTGTATTTTAACATTGCAACCAAATAAGCGGCGTAACTCAAGTAGTCTTCATTCTTAACGCAAAAGACAAAGTCGTTACTGGTCGTAAAAAAATTCACGTTTTTTATGTCAATTTTCATAGTAACCGTGAAGATCGGCATCTCGAATTCAAGGGGAACGATATCGCATTGCTCGCTGTGATCCGTCACGAACGTTATCGTACGAGCATCGGAAAAAAGTTGTTTTATAGTTTTACGTATGCAAGTCGCCATCGATGTGTTTCTACGATCCTCAACGATCGCCAAAGAGGCTGCAATTGACATAAGGCACTGTAAAGTGAGCACTGTTTTCATTTTGGACACGTCAACCAAGCCAAGACCATGTAAAGACTGATTTATAGCTTTGATTGTGAACTACAATAAAAACGTGCTCGTAAATCACTTACTATGAAAGGGAAAGGATCGCGTCCCTCCGTAATTACAGGATACAACAACGTTTTAGGTGTTTTCCATATTGTTTGTATGGTAAAATTGATTATTGATCGCCGGAGCTTGCACCGTTTCTTTTATTGTATTCGATATGACCTGGTAAATTCTTGGAAAGGTCTGAAGTTTTAAGTTTGTTGCAATATATGATATTATTTCATCTTGTATTTTTCTCACGCAAATTTAACAACTTAATTATTTAATTGTGCCATCTTGGTAGAACACGTGTTTTCCTGCTTACATTTAAATAGGCAATAATTCGATGGTGCGCGTGTAAAGGGGTATAAGTCAAAAATTGTGCAAATTGAAATAAGTATAGTTTTGGAAAAGAAATATGCGCTATTTTACTCATGCAAAAGGATATAAGTCTGGTTAATAAAAAACGGAAGATGTCATAATGTGCACATAGATATAAGTAGCAAAGGAACGCTATTTGTTTGAGTAAAAGGGTATAACTATACTTATACCTTTTTACACTTCCGAAACAAGAAATGAAAAGGGATTATCTAAACTTATACCTCTTTCCACACTAAATTTCCGCACGTAACGTTAACTTAAACCTTTTTTCACACTTCAAACGATACGTAAGCTTCATTTCAATTTTGCTTATTCTACATTAATTTAATACGAGCTGGTGGCGGTTTTATACTCTGATACTTGTGGTGGTCAAAATAAGGATGGTTACGCAAAAATCTGATCTGACTACCGTCGATCACAAATTCACGATCCCAGGTCATTCGCATATGGAGTGTGATAGTGATCACTCCGTAATCGAAAAAAAAAGAAAGAAATATGGAGCACCAATTGAACACCCCCGCGATTGGATGCAATTAGTACGTCTATGTAGAAAAACTCGTCCATTTCAAGTCACTGAAATGGTGAGGGAGGATTTCCGAGAATTTTCGGCCTTATTTAAATCATCTTTTCAACTAAGAAAAAAAAATGAAGAAGGAGATAAGATCAATTGGAGAGACATTAGATGGTTGCGCTACACAAAAGAAAAGACATCGGAATTATTATTCTCTACAAAACGACGTTGGACCCTGATGCTCCATTCAAGAAAATAAATTATAGGCGTAAAGGGCGTTCGTCTAGTAAAAATTTACGTGCGCCGTTATGCTACAACGCAGATACTCCAATCAGTGTAGAAAAAAAGGAAAATTTATTAGAGTTGCTTCCCTACATTGACAAGGTTTTTCACGACTTTTATAAAAATTTGCCGTCTAAACAAGATATAGTCAATGTATTACCTGACATACAAGTTGAAGAAGAAAGCGACGAGGAAGAAGAGTTAACAGTTTAAATATGAACATTTGTTAAAGTGAAAAGGGATATATGTTTTGTTTTTCAGTTTTTGTAATGTGTCAAAAGATATAAGTTTAGTTCAGATTGTGTATTTTTCATTATTTTAGTAATAAAGGTTTATAATCTAAAAAACACTTATTCTATTTGACAAAATTTGAATTTACCTTAAAAATTAATTAGGCAGGTGATTTGTGAAAGTTAATGTAATCTATATTGCTCATTTACTCGGTTTCTCATTTAATGACTTATGTCCCTTTACACGCGCACCATCGAATTTATCTAGAAACCCCAATGAAAATGTCAAACTTAGCGCTGACTTAGGGTAAGTTAAACCAACAGTATCGTTCACGACCATTAAAGGCGCGCTGATATTAAATAATATATCGACTCTAATTTTCAACAGTGGTCAGTATGTGTGTGAGATTTGTTAAGTGCCTTTGTTTACTGTATCATCTTGTTTCTTTATTGTATGTCATAAGGCTTCTTAATAGTGGTATAGGCGTGCTTAAGAATGTTATTCGTATACGAGTACGAAGGTGTGGCTGTGTGAGAGCCGGTAGGGATTGCACTGGGGGATACGGTCCCGGGTGGCATTTGGGGACATGAACGTGAGAAGATCATCTGTTCGCGTTAACCGGACCATGAAACGTCACCTACTAGTTCAAAAGTTACAGCCCTTTGAATTTTCTTTCGAAATTGGTTTCTAGTCCATAACTTTTGATTGAGAAGTCCGATCGAAAAGGTACGAATTGTTTTGGATTCTACGCACCAAAATTAATAAGAAAAAGTGTTTTCCCGAGAAATTTTGGTGCAGTCGATTTTTGGTAAAAAAAGGAAGGTTTATACACTGCCTTTTTTTGAGCCGCGAAAAAAAAATTGTCTCAGATCGACCCGGAAAAAAAGTTTGCTTACAGAATGTAGCCTGTAGAATCTATAATTTCAAACAGTTCCAAGATTGGGCCACTAATTCAAAAGTTACAGCCCTTTGAATTTTCTTTCGAAATTGGTTTCTAGTCCATAACTTTTGATTGAGAAGTCCGATCGAAAAAGTACGAATTGTTTCACCAAAATTAATAAGAAAAAGTGTTTTCCCGAGAAATTATGTTGCGTTCGCCGCTCGAGGTCGAAAACTTTAATTATACATTGGGTTAACAACATAAGCAATCCCACAAAAAATCAGAACTACCGGATTTGACGCTTGGTACCCCCCATTTTTAGGAACAAAGTTACTGGACTACAAGGGATCAGCGATTTTTTAAATCTTGCATTGTAAGCGTTTCCCAGGCTATTATACAAAATAAATCCCAATCATTAGAAAATGACATGCATAACGCATTAACTTTGCCGTATCTCCCGTCAGACTGGCGCGAGCTAATTTTATAACTTGATTAAACGGTCAGTAAGGCTTCCGGTAGCCATCCACTTAAAGACTTAGCAACATAATTTTGGGCCTTTGCTGATATTTTCAACAAGGAACTGCGAACGTTCTGAAATTTTGCGCTATTGAGGCAGCCGAACGTAATAAACACATTATCCACCGCGCTAGGACCTATAAACAATTTTGATATTTGATAATTAGGTGTTAATTATCCCATTTTTTGCTGTTACCATTAAATTAGCCTTCTAATTAATTGAGATCGCTACCGCTAACGTCCTTCCGTGTTCCTGTACCGGCCAAATTTAAATGAAATTAAATTTTCAATTAAATTACCTTGAATTCAGTCAATTTATTTTCATTCATCCATTTCCATCTAATTATGGACTTCCTGGTTAGAATTGTGCTTTGGACTTCGACTGTAAATTGCGTACTCATTATTTTCAGTTATATAGCACTTTGGGGCGTCATATGGTGTCACCTATTTGTCATAATCATACAAAGACAATCTTTATCGGGTCAAGTGCAATGAAACAGAAGTAAAAGTTCACATTTGGGTTAATAAACAACTTATCCAATAAGTTATTTTAAATTAATGTGCATAGTAAGTGTTTCATTTCGCCTATCATCTTATTGCTATTTACCGTAATTGGGTAATGTCTATTGCGTTGCCAAAATTAATTATTTACAGAAGTACCAGTTCCTTTTCTAAATTGTTTATCTACGTTATAATTAAAAATGTATTATTAGGCAATGATAACGATTTAACGTCACTTGGCTTGTAATCTTCGTTGGTATCTAATATATAAGTTTAGTGCTCAAAATTACTAACTGTGGCTTTTCTCTAAATTGGCGATTAATTACCTCAACTAATTTGGCGGTTAGATTCACCGAAAACTTCTGAATAAACTGCCCCAATTGTGTGAAATACTTCCTAATTAGCGGTAAGTAAGTACGTGTGTTAAAGGGTAAATTAGGCTCGATAATATCGCAATAACATAATTACCTCGCCTAATTTAGCGCTTAAATACACCGAAACCAATTGTTTAAAATACTTGCTAACGAGCCGTAATTATAACTAATTAGGAAATTAGCTAATAATCCTCATTTAGGCAAAATTAATAGCTATTGATTGTTGACACTTTTAATTATCAAAATTAACCGATGTTCAGTTATTTTACCTAAATAGTATTATAATATAATATAATAGTGAAGGTTGAACTAATTCGACGGAATTAGGTGTATAACTGAATTAATCTAGGAGGAAACAACTTTGAATTTTTGGTGTACACCTCTCTGAATTAATTAGAATTAACGTGAATTAATTACAATTAATGTGAATTAATTTGAATTAGTTGAATTTGAATGTTTGGTGTACACCAAAAATGGTACTTGTTCCGCTTAAGACAAATTCGTTTCTAAAAAATCATCGATTCTTGAAAAAAATGCCCTTATAAATCCCCAGAAAATTCGCTTCAGAAAATTTGGTTGCGCTTAAAAAATCGCCCTTGGAATGTTTCATCCCTAAAGGCTTGTTCCCTGAAAAGTTTCTCACTGGAGATATTCGCTATAGAAAAATTCTCATCCTGAAAGTGTAGCCTCGAAAAAATCACTATTGTGTTTGATCTTCGAAGACTTGTTCCCGGAAAATTTCTTCTGGGAAAATTCCCTATGGAAAAATTCGCTTCCGGAAAATGTAGGCTTGAAAAAGTCGCCTTGGGGATATGCGCACCGGAAAATTCTTTCCTGGAATAAGTGTAAATTTTTGTCCTGGAAATTTAGCCTCGAAAAAATCGCCCTTGGAATATTTGACATTAAAAACACGTCTCGCCCTAGAAAAATTCGCTATGGAATTCTTGTCCTGAAAATTGAAACACGAAAAAATGGTTCTTGAAAAACTTTTCCCTGGAATGCTTGCGTGAAAAATTTGCCCCCAGAAAATTTAGTCTCGAAAAAATCTCCGTTGGAATATTTGACCCACTAACGCTCGTCCTGACAAAATTTGCCCTGGAAAATTCGTTTCTCGAAAATCGCCGATTCCTGTAAAAAATTGCCCTTAGAAATCTCCTGAAAATTTGCTAGGAAAAATCGCTCTCATAAAAAAGGGTTCGTAAAAATCTACCTTCGCTAGAATACTTGCGTGAATAATTCCAGAAATTTGATGCGCTCTAAAAATCGCCCCTGGAATATTTGACCCCTAAA